AGAGAGAGAGAGAGAGAGAGAGAGAGAGAGAGAGAGAGAGAGAGAGAGAGAGAGAGAGAGAGAGATAGAACACCTCTAGGTTATTGGGAACAACATTGGAGGTGGTTGGGGTCTGAGGCGAGACCAGACCTGGAGGAGAATTGCGAATTGTCAGGGAGGGATGGTGAATCCCTTGCTGTCTTTTTTTTTTAACCCTTATTTCTTTTCGTGGACAGCACGTCTGGGTTCATTGCCCCATCCTCTTGCAGCCCGCTACTGAGAAAGTAGGTAGTGATGGTGATGATGAAGAGACGATGGTGATGACGTGCTTAAGGTGGGAGGACCCGTGGGCATGGTGGACTGGCGGCTTGTGAAGAGAGATCCCGATCAGATTCTGGAAGTCGGGATAAGGGCAATAGTGTTTTCTGTCTTGCTCCCCTCAGAGTTTTGGAGGTTCCTGAAAAGAAAATCGAAAGAAAAATAAGTAGGAAAAAAAAAAAAACCGTCCCTGCTCGACTTCCATTGTATTTGTCCTTTTTTTTTTTTTTTTTTTTTTTGGTTGTGTGGAGCACTGTGGACCATTTCTCAATTTATGCATGTCATCGTTGCATGCGCCATGCTAAAATTATGAATTACGTTAAATTGAATTGGTTGGGCTTAAAGAATTAGCCTTTAAAAAAAAATAAAAAATAAAAATAAAAAAATGAATTACCTTAAAACAAAAACAAAAAACCAAAAAAAAGAATTATGAATTACCTTGGGCCGGTTAGTTGGATGATGATATCTCAAGGCTGTCGCCCTTAAAAAAAGGGAATTGGAAAAAAAAAAAAAAGGATGGCCCGCATAAAAAAAAAAAAAAAATCTTCTCAACATGAATTTTTAAGAAAGAAAGAATCTCTCAATTTATGCGTCTCGATTTACTCATCTGGAGTTGGAACTCAGGTCTCTGTATTTCAACAGTTCGGTCGTGTACCAACTGAGCTACCTTCTTCCCCCGAATACAACGTACGGTCATTATAGCTGTATCTAGACTGAAAGATGCCTCAAATACACAACTATAATGCCCGCATGTCGTATTCGGGGGAAGAAGGTAGGCCAGTTGGTTGCCGGGCCCATGCTAATCTTCTATCTCTGTATTGTTCCAATTTTTAACGGATGTTCCCAAGGACCCATTCCATTTGTTTTGGCAATTCTTTTTTTTTTTATGAACCTAGTCAGGCTTTTGGATTTTAGCGGTGTGTGCAGATGCGATTATAGTTTAGACATGTCAGCGCAATTGCCCTTATATCACTCAAAATGCGCGCAATTCCATTTCTTGGGCAATTTCTGAATTAACCTTTTCGAAATGCGCGCAATTCCATTTCTTGGGCAATGTCTTAATTAACCTTTTCTATTTTTAGACGTGTGTGGAGATGCCATTATAGTGCCACATATTTGCGCAATTGCCCTTGTATCGCTCAAACTTTGGCCAGTTCCATTTCTTTGGCAATTTCTTAAGCAACCTTTTCTATTTTTAGCGGTGTGTGCAGATGCGATTATTGTGCCACATATTAGCGCAGGTGCCCTCATATCGCTCAAAATTTGCCCAAATGCTTCTCAATTCCCCCTAAATGGCCAAACATTCCCTCTTTCTCCTATGTGCTGTCGTCTTTTTGCCCCCTCCCTTAACCTGCCCCCCATCGAGAATGACCTGTTTATGCTCAGACTTGGGACCTTATGTGCCTTTCTTCTTCTTCTTCTTCTTCTTCTTCTTCTTCTTCTGCTGCTGCTGCTGCTGCTGCTGCTGCTGCTGCTTTTCGAAACGATGATAGAAGACCTCCCTATGAATCCTTGAACCCTAAACCCCGACATTCAAGTCCTAAGCCCCAAGCCTTCCAAACCCTAAGCCCTAAACCCCACCACCTCTCAAAATTATTGAGACGAGATCAAGAAAAAAAGGTTTTCAGGTGGTGGCAATGAGATTGGAAAACAACTAAAGGTGGATTTAAAACAAAGCTGCAGCAGACACAAAATAATTGGGAAGTTAGAAGGACCTCTTTCCATGACCCTTCAGCTGCATGTGTGTGTGTGTGTATGCGCGTGTGTGTGTGCGCGTGTGTGTGTGCGTGTGTGTGTGTGTGTGTGTGTGTGTGTGTGTGTGTGTGTGTGCGCTTCGGGTGGTAGCGGGGATGAATCTGTGAACCGATGAATTTTGGCGGAATGATTGGCGTACAGTTCTCCCAATTTTTAAAGGCCTTGTGGAGAATGTTGCATGCTCGTGTATATGTGTGAGTGTTTTGTGTGCGTATGTGTGTGTTTTGCACGCGTGTGTGTGTGTGTGTGTGTGTGTGTGTGTGTGTGTGTGTTTTTTTTTTTTTTTTTTTTTTTTTGTGTGTGTGTCTTGTGTCTGTGTGGATGGGTGTGTGTATGGATCTGTTGCCCCATCAATTCTGATGGAGTGATTGGTATACAGTGCCCCTAATTTTGAAAGACATTGTGGAGACTGTTTGCTTGAAGCATTACTTATCATAAGTGAGTTGTTGTCAGGGCTGTGACAGACTGTTTGTTTGCAGTTTTTACAAACAACGCACTCATAATCAACTCACTCATCATAAGTGAATTGTTTGGAAGTACTGTACGCAAGCAGAGTGCGTAATAACCTCTAATCTTGTTCCAATAAATTCTTTTCACCCAATTTTGCATTTAAGTGAACCTTTTGCACAGACTGATGTTTGGAAGCCATCACAACAGCTCAACTGGTGTGACTGCACGACGTTTTCACACTCCGCCCCCGGCGTGCAGCTTGCCACGGACCTCCCCCCTGCGGCTGATGTGCGTTAGGGGGAAGGATAAGCTGTTTCTTCTAGGACTGATTTCTTTTCAATTGGGGGTGTGAGGGCTGGGGGGAAAAAGGCCTCTTTAGCCCAGCACCAGTTCCCCCAGGAAAGCCTCATACAATGATGCAGGACATTGACGACACATGCAGTTGTTGGGGGAGGACGGTGGTCCGCTGCGCACCAAAACCTGGTGTGAAATGCGTGCGGGCCATCGGATGGGGTGGATCGACGGCCAGGGTGCGTGCAGAGCCGATTTTCCACCGGTTTGTTCACAGCGCACCAGTTAACGTGGTGAGGGCAGCCACACCCGCGGTGTGCGATGAGCGTCGATCGACGGGAACATCTCGCAAGGGGAACTGCCCGATAGCGGGCGGCCGTCGTTTTTCTCCCCCTTTCTTTTTCGCTTTTCCGCCCGTCATTTTGTGTCCCAGCCTGATGGCGGGGGGCCGTCGTTGTGCTTCCCCTTGTGGCATTTGTTTTGCTTCGCACCACACAGATCTCTCTCTCTCTCTCTCTCTCTCTCTCTCTCTCTCTCTCTCT